AAAAAAAAAAAAAGCATAGATTCAACTCTGTAGTTTTTTAATCTTTCTACATCACAATGAATACATGGCTCTTCTTCTCAAAAGAAAAAAAAAGTTCAAATGCACATACATAGACACACATAAATATATAGGTATAGAGACACATACAAGTTGCACACAATGTCAGCCACCTCACCCACACCTCCAGAAGTCAATCCAAGTACTACTTATTTAAAACATTAATGATGGCTGTAGGGTAAAGTGGAATGGTGAAGGGAATCTCTTGAAGTATTTTAGGCAGGGAATTATATGACCACATATTCATTTAAAAACATTGCTGTTATTTACAGTCAAGTCAGCCCCAACTCATGATGACCTCATCGTGTTACACAGTAGAACTCCTCCATAGGGTTTTCTTGGCTTCTGTAATCTTTACAGAAGTGGTTCACCAGGACTTTCCTCTGAGGAGCTGCATGACTAGACCATCACCCTATAGGTTGGCAGCCTAATGCAAACCACTTACATAGCCTAGGCTTCTTTTAAATTCATTACTGCGAAATTTTTTAACAGGCAAGTCTGGAGGCAGGGAGTGTATTTGTAAAGATAGTTTGAGTTCCAGGCAAGAGATGACAAACTTGTGAACTTGGGCATCAGTGGTAGGGTTTGAGAAGAAGCAGTAACAGAGGCATTCTTGGTAATTGAACAGTGAGTCATGAGTAAGAAATTTTTAGTTTCTAGCTCAAGAAACTGGTGAAACACTGAAGTAGAAGCCAGTTTGGAGGCAAAGATAATGGGTCCACTTTTGCACTTCTTAAGTTCCAAGTGTCTTAGGAAGAGTCCGTGATAACCAGGCAATTGGGTACACTAAAGTCTCCAGAAGAGGTCAAGGCTGATAATACAGATCTGTGGGATCATATAAAAATCTACCAATTCCATGTTCATTTCAATAAAATACCATATAAGGAGCCCTGGTGTCTCAACACTTAAGTGCTCTGTTACTAACCAAAAGGTCTGCTGTTCCAACCAACCAAGCGCCTCTGTAGGATAAAAGACCTCATGGTACGTGTCCCTAAAGATTACAGCATAGAAAACCCTCTGGGACGCTTCTACTCTGTCCCATGGGGTCGTTTTGAGACCACCGCACCTAACAACAGCAATCCAGTCTTAACGGATCACATACGGAGTGAAAAGAACGGGGGAGGGAGAGGAAGGAATGCTGTAATTTCCAACTACATGTGCAAAAACAAATACCTGTACATGCAAAAGCTCTGTGACAAGAGATGTTAATCAGAAATTTTAAGTCCCTCTCTTGAAGCACTGTCCCAAGGTATCGGTAAGTTTCGATGACAAAATAACGTGAACATACTTTGCCTAGTAATTCGCCGTGTAAATTAAGATACTGTTTTTAATGAGCAAAGTCTTGCACCTACTAAAACCCCAAAATACCAAACTCACTGTGGTTGAGTAGGATGCAACTCATAGTGACCCCTCCTCGGGTTTCCAAGGTGACCCCTCCTTGGGTTTCCAAGGTGTTATTTCTATGGAAGTAGATTGCCCAACCTTCCATCCAAGGAGTGGCTGGTGGGTTTGAACCGCCAGCCTTTTGGTTAGCAGTCAAATGCCTTAGGCATTAGGCCACCAGAGAGCCTCTGCACCTACTAGTCACTCATTTATTACCTGTTAGTCCCTGAAGGAGGAGTTCTGGTAGCACTTGACTGCTAAACAGAAGGCTGGTGGTTCAAACCCACCAGCCACTCCTCAGAAGGAAGGTTGGGCAATCTACTTCCATAGTGATACCGCCTTGGAAATCCAAGGAGGGGTCGCTATGAGTCCGGTCTGACTCCACGGCACATAACAACAACAACAACAACAGTCCCTGAAGGAGCTTTCGTGGCTCAGTACCTAAGACATTTGACTGCTAACCAAAGGGTTGGCTGTTCTATCCCCATCACCCCAGCCCCTCCACCAGAAGGGAGGTGGGGTAATCTGCTTCCGTAGAGTTTTACTGCTTCGGAAACCCACTGGGGATGGCTTTGAGTCTGAATCTACGTGATGGCAATGAGGGGTTTTTTTTTTTTTTTCAATCCCTGATATTCGAAGGAGAAGAGGGGCTTCGGATGAAGGCATAGCTCTGCGAGTTACGCACTGGGACTTCACCTCCAACCATCACACAAGTAGCACAGAAAACTGGAATCAAAAATCGTAGAACAGTTTGGGTGTCGTATTTCCTTGACAATGGATCTCATTGGCCTTTCAAAGTGATACCATTGAAGGATTGGCTGCAGAAGTAGTCAGAGGCTTGCCCCCTGCAGCTGATAGGATGATAGGCAGCCAATCTCTCCTCCTTCCCACAGGGGTTTGTTGCTTGGCAACCGATTTGCGTCCTCCTCTTTACCAGGCACCTGCTTACCCCTGTGAAGAAAATACTCTTCTTCCATTGCCTCAGACTTAAATTTTTCACGCTTACTTCACGCACCAGCTCTCCACACACGAGGTCGTCCTAGTCGCTCATCCAAGTTTTCCGTCGCTGGCACTGTGGTGACAGGCTGAAGACAAGACAGGGCCCAAATTTTTCTTCCTGGCACTTTCCATGTTCTGCAGATTTCTTAGAAGAGTCGGAGGAGAAAAGAAACTCACAATTATATCTCAAATTTAGAAACACCTTATCTTGGATGACACACTGTTCTGGGCTCTAGAAAGCAAGTAACTTAAGTCAGTTAATCAAGTGTGGGAGAATAAACCATAACTTCAGACACCTGCTCCACAGTAAACCTGAGGAGTTTGGGAGCAAGTACCAGACCCTCTACTGCCTTATCAATGCACTCTAGAGCTCACCTCTTGCTGGAAAGAGACTTCCAGGAGTTGATGGAGAACAGCCATAGGGTGGGTACTGAAAACTTGGAGGGATGAGGTAACTATTTTTTTAAAAAGTAGTTTTACTTGGGTTTATTTAGCCCATAAGAGATCATTTAGTCAACCCTAATTTGCCACTACAGTATTATTATTTATTGAATATATTTCACTATAATAATCTAATTCATAATATGAAATAATCTATTTCATAATATTATTCACATATACTTACAGTATATTAATTATATTTAATATCATTTCATAATAATGGTGGTCAATATAGAACACATTGTACTGGGTAATTTATATGAACATAAGCAAAGAATATCAGAATACACCAGGTAATAAGTGACTAGTATGTGCAGGGTTACACTCATTTATTGTAGTACTATAAGATAAGTAGTATTTTAATTATAAAAAACCTAAGCCTCAGAAAGATTCAATAAAGATTAGCCCCAGGACTCCATTTCAGGGTTTTCTGACCCCAAATCCTTTAATCTTGATTAACAGAGAGGAAGGCAATACTGTTTGCCCTGAATGCCACCAATGAACTGACCAATGCCCTTGGTTACCATGGGCTAATTTATCACACAAAATATGAAGAATCAAAAAACAGAGAAGTGAATGAGAGTGTGTTTAAGAGAAAGACTAAAAGAAAGCAGTGCATAGGAAGAGGGTGTAGAGTGCTACCAACAGTTGCTTCAGGTGTTGTCCAGTGATACCATTCTTTGTCCAACCTTTCTATAAAATATTGTCTTCACTGGAAATGTTAGGAACAACTGTTTCCAGGAACAAACATCCCAGAAGCATATGAACCCAATATTTGATATTGATTTTGCTGAATCTGAACTTCTTGGTTCTTTGGTGAAGGAGAATTCCATGAAGGGTAAAGTGATTTGTAAATATAGATAGTGTAGGTGATAGAAATATAATGTTCAACCAGACTAGCATGTAACATAATAATTATGTTATTGCTCATACTTAATCATTCTCCTTGGTATAATTACAACATTTTCTATGAAATATTTTCTTGTTTCTCTCATTGGGACAATATACGAAATGTAGGAAAAAAATTATTTTTTATATATAAATGTAATTTCAATTTGTGTTTTTCTTAATGGGAATTTTCTTACTCCATGCTGTTCATATAGCATTCCTATAACCTTGAAAAATGTTCAAAGAAACATTAGCTTTCCAACTATTTTCTTTTGTAATTTGAATCTTAAACTGGCCACTATATAAGCCACATGCCCTAATCTTGACTTTTTAGTCACATTTGTGATTTCCAGGTTTATGATTTATTTTTCATTTACTGATGCATGTGTTTCCTGGAAGCCACCTTAACTTCTGTGTAATAAGGAATACGAGCTCTGGTAGCATAGTGCCTAAGGCACTTGGCTGCTAACCAGAAGGCTGGCGGTTCAAACCCACCAGCCACTCCTTGGAAGGAAGATGGGGCAATCTACTTCCTTAGTGATACTGCCTCAGAAACCCAAGGAGGGGTCGCTCGGAGTCGGGGCTGACTCAACAGCACATAACAACAACAACACTACCTCCTTAGGTCGAAAATAAGTACACCTACTCCTCACTTATCAACATGGTTGGATTCCAAAACCAAGCCATTACATGAACACTGAATGTTTTGCAAAAATGGAGGATGACCACATCATTACATAACTACCAAACCTCTGAATCATGGTCCAACACATAACCTTAATCATCACAGCCAGTGTTACCCTTGTCCAGCACCTTGACTTTAGTTACTGCCAGATGTATGTCATTAATGCACAGATAGATTTTTTTTACTATTGTCATAAATGCGAAATGTTTGATAACAAGATAGTTGCTAAGTGAGGACTAGGGGTAAATTAGGAAAAGAAAATTTAGAGCTTTTGGAATTCAATGTGACCTAGTATTTGATTTTTAGAAGTACAAATAAATAATCTTTTTCCACCTTTTTTTTTCCCCTAAGGGTATTATTGCCTTTCCTGTAAGTGAAGATATGATGCAATGGGAAGCTGAAATTGAAGGTCTACAATACACAATTTGGCATGGTTTGTGGTTTCAAAACAAATTTACTTTTACAAAGTTTGTCTTCGTAATATGTGTAATGAAGTTGCATTATATAAATGTTCTAGGAATTTTCTTTATATGTATGAGACTGCATTAGCATTCTAACAGTACTATATGCTTATTTATTTACTTTTTGTCATTTGTAAACATAGATGGAAATTTGGAGTTGGAATTTTCCTTTGTATCAAATGTTAATGTTATTACATTTTTAAAAAAGTAGATATAATAAAGCATGTCAAAGGAGAATAGTGGCTGTTTCAGTTACCTAGTGCCGCTCTGACAGGCATATACCACAAATGGGATGGATTGAACAAACAGGAGTTTATTATCTTACAGTTTGGAGGCTTTAAGTCTGAGTTGCAAGTGCCAGGTTCTAAGGGCTGAGTAAAAGCCCCTCCACCTTGGGCTTCAGCTCTGCCTCCTGCTCCCGGTCCACTGAAGCTGGAGGCTTTTCTTCATTCAGCTGCTGGCTGCTGAGGCTGACAAGCCCAAGGTTGACAAGCAAAAAAGCACAGTACCGATGTTACCAAACCACATGACAGGCCATTAATTCAAATGCATTAAAGTCCCAAGGTCAGCAGAGCATGGCAGGCTGCTGAACAATGACATGGCTACATGCTGTGTTCAAGCATGCCATAAGCTAGAGACTGTTCCCAAAGTTGCTGCTTATATGCAAGAAGCAGACCACATTCCTAAAGCAGCTACTCAGCTGCTCCAAAACATTCTACCATGGAGTTAATTACCAATCTCACCATGGGGAATAACTACCACCAGCTGCCCAGCCACTCAACCAGGCCCAGCCAAGTTGACACACAAACTTAACCACCACAGTGGCTAACAATCTTCCATGGAATCAGAGACTAGCTATTAAAATTCCTGTTGATTTAAAAACTTTGTTATTTCTCTGTTTTCTATAATAGTCCCCCCGCCCAATCACCAAAAAAATTCTGTAAATCACATTTTCAAATACATTGGGCTACTATAAGCTTTTAATCTTCCAATCATGGATGAATAAAATAGATTCCTTGAGTGAGGTAGGGTAGACAGACCTGAGTGATGGTTATGAGAAAATGCAATACATGCTATTACAATGAAACAATGTTGAGAAGGAAGTGATTAATTAGCCTGTACAAGTATGTAGAGTCAGGAATGGCTTCCTAATGAGGTGGGATTTGAGTTGAGTCCTGAAGAATGAGTAAGAGTGTGCTAGGATCTAAAGGAAGGGAAGAAAATTCAGGCAAAGTAAAGAGCATGGCAACAGGCTTGCAGACAAGAAAGGTACAACAGGTTCTGGAACTGGTGAATTCAGTCAATATGAGATATACATTAGAAGGAGTGTCAGAAGGACTGAGTATCAGGATAGAAGGGACTGGTGGGAAACAGGCTAAAATGTAGTGGAATTTGTGAAGAGTCTATTATATTATGCAGAGTAGTCTGTGCACCCTTTTTAAAAGTCAACAAAGCCCTTTAGATAGGAGAGGGTATGATGCAATTTATTTAAAAATAAAACTCTAAAGACTGTGGGGAGGCTGACTGTTGGGAGAGACAAGAGTCAATCAAGTACAATGTGACACCTTAGTAAAAATGTTTCTTTCTGTGTTACAGGATTGTTCTTCCAACTGTCAATACATTTTATATCAGAATACAATTTGGTTCCTCCAGATGTGAAATTTAAAACAATTCCTTTTCATCCAAATGGTAAGGACCAAATGAAAATTTTATCATCAGTGCCTCTGTCCCTATTATTTTTTATTGTTAGTGTTTAATAGTCATGTGTCTTTTTAATAGATTTGTTATGATTATAAAAGTCAGCCTGCTCACTGGAAAGTATGTAAAGGCAGAAGACATTAAGAGTCACCAAGTCTCTTCCTGCATTATAAACATTCTTCGAAAGATCATGTAAAATTTTTTTTTTGAAAGGATAATTTTTAGTAACTGAATGATAAATGTAAACACTTCCCTACTTTTCAATATTTAGGTCAGATGCAATTTTGTATTATCATAAAAATGATGCATTGGGCAAAATAATCTTTTAGAAAAAAGTTAAATTGCTACTTCATATTATATACAAAGTGATGGATCAAAAATCTAAAATGTTTTAATTCTTTTAATAAAAAGGAAGAAAAGACATAGATTTCCGGACTTCTGATAAGATGGTGGAATAGGCAGACACAGACCCACTTCAACAAAGAATAGAAAAACCAATTGACAGAGATACAGAAGATAATCCTGGAACCCTGAACTTTGAAAGGAACTATATAGAAGTAGATTAGGCACCAACTGGTAGAAAAACCTGAACAAAAACTGTGAGTACAGAGATGGTTGGAGCTGCAGACTGTCAGCTACTCTGACAAAACCGACAGCCTGAATATTTCCAAGTGGTGTTGGGACCTGAGATTGACCTAAAGATCAGTCCCGGTCACCAAGGGTTGCAGGAACAACTGCTCTGGTGTCTTATGACTAGAAAGGGAAACAGCAAGGAGGGAGACAACCTGAGTTCTGGACTTTCTGCTGTCCAGAAGGCACAGCCATTTTGACTGTTTACATGTGGCAGCCATTTTGAATATTTAAAGTGACTGAGGGCATAACCATTTTGAATGTTTACAAGTGGTGGCCATTTTGGATATTTAAAGTGACCGAGGGTAAAGCTATTTTGAATGTTTACAAGTGGCAACCATTTTGGATTTTAAAGTGATAGAAATCTCATTCAGATTCCAGGGACCTAAGAACAGTCTCTGTTTGCCAGGGTTGGCAAGGTCATACAAGAGGCTGACAAAGAAAAGGAGACAGGTGGTGAGTGTACAAGTGCTGTCAACTAGTGAATAGAGGAGCACAGCACAGTACCCTGCCTGTATAGATAACATACAAAGAAAACAAAAATTGTGGGCAAGTCACTCCAACATATAATCACCAATTAAATATAAACACAAAAACATCACAATGCCTCAGAGACAACAGAGCATCACAGGCCACACAAAGAAGCAAGATAAAGCAGGAGAAACAAGGGACCAGGATATAGACCCAAAACACATCCTTGAGGAAGAAGCAGCATTGGAACTCCCTGATAAGAAATTCAAAAGAATTATCTTCAGGTATTTCAAAAGATTGAGAGACAGACCAAGGAAAACACAAACAAAACCCTAGAAAAATTTTGGAAGAAAATACAAGAACAAAATTACAAAATAAATGAAAAATTAGAAATGATTCTAATCTACAGAAGATTAATACTTATTTAATTTCTTATTACTAGAAGAGTAATACTAAATTGTCAGAAATAGATAACACATTGAAAGGGCAAAGGAATAGAATTGATGCAATTGAAGACAGAATTAATGAGATTGAAGACAAATGCCTGAATACTTCTTTGGAAAGGGATCAATCAGAAAAAATATCAAAACAAAATGAAGAAAGCCTAAGGTTCATGTGGGATACCATCAAAAGAAATAACCTACATGTCATTGGAATTCCAGAACAGGAAGAGAAAAATAAAACCACTGAGAAAATTGTCCAAGATTTGTTGGAGGAGAACTTCCCTGATATGATGAA